AGGTTAAGACCAGCGCAGGAAAAAAAAGGCGAATCTGAGACCTAAACAAACAGTGGAAATTTTAGAAACCAACTGAATTATCCGCAAAGTGCGATGTGCATGTGGAGGTTCTGGATGCAACTCTCCACAAACGCATAGGGGTTAAAAATTTAAAAAAAATCCATAATACAATTCCCAATTACCTTAATTATTGTAATTATTTCGAAAACAAATTACCTTTGAATTAAAACCGTCTACCACTACTGCTATAACGCGTTCAGCTCCTTTTAGTGACGAAGTTGTTGCATTAAGAAGGTCTAAAAAACCTGGCGTGAAGTACCTCTCCAGTTCGTATCATATTCTCCTCAAGTTCCCATAAAGCTTTCCTAATATTCAACGTTCCTCTCTAGTTTCTCTTTAAATTCTCTCTTCTCCAATCCTTCTCCGATTCTCCGCTCAAATTCCTTACACACTCTCAATCTCTAAGCTTCTACACCCTAAGCCCTTTAAATTACCCTAAAATTAATTGTTCCTCTCAAGTTCTTGTTTAAATCTTGCTTATGTGTCCTAAAACTTTCTATTAAGTTCCTTAAATTCTCCTCAAGTTTCTTCATGTTCCTCTCAACTCTAAACTTTCTCGAATTTTACTTGTAAGCGTCTTCATTGAGTTCTTGTACGTACAGAGAATCAGTCCCGTCAAGATTTTCATTAATCACAAAAGACAAACGAGTGTGGTAATGTCAACACTGAAGAAAAGATCACTTTCCTTTACAATCACAATTCAACTGAAGAAAGACATCGGATCCTAATATCAAGTGAATCTATTGATGAAGAAACTGTAAATAAGTAAAAGGAAAAGACAATTGTATCTTCTTTAAATATCAACAACAATCATTTGATTTGGAAGTAATGATTTTTTTAAATTTAAAGAAATGATTTGAGTTATCGCTTACCTCCATCGTTTCATACATAACTGTAATTGGGGTGTCAGTGTTAAAAAAGGAAGAAGTGGCCAGGAAAAGTTATGTGGAGAAATAAGTAGATGAAATGAGACCAAGTAGGTATTTCATTCATAAGTTTATTCAAATGTCCAGTTTTGATGGAGTTCAAGATAATAGGATAAATCTTTTATTGATGCGAATGGGTTTTATAGGGGGATTCTAAGTATCAGAGATATATTAAGTGTATTAGTTAAAAATTCGATGCTGAAGTTAGTACATAAAACGAATTCATTTTTTCTAAAGACAAAATAAATTTGCTTTTACAAGATCTTTGTTTAACCAAAATCCGCTTATACCTAAAACAAACTGTTGGTACAAATTTACTTATGAGCATAGCCATCAGCCAATTTTGGAATGTTTACAGAAACAGAGCGTTCATTTAAAGAGAAACGAAAAATTATTAACAATTTGTTCAGCAATAGTACTTGATACGAGTAGAAAATTTCAAAATGTGTTTGGTCACCGGTTGTGAAGGCATTACGTAGTTAAATAATTTCCGTTAAAAGCTTTTATGGAACGCCTTTGTTCGCCTAACTCATTTTCGTAACAATAAAAACCTATTACTGTAGTTCAAAACGGAAACGTTTACCTCTATGAAAAGTTTGGGGGGGAAAATTTATTCAAAGAAAATAGTCCTTGTCAATTATCCTTATTCAAACACCTCTAGAAAATTTATGACTCGAACTTTTCCGGCGGGCTTTTCTGTCTTATAACATTACAGGATACATATGAAATGTGAATTCTACTACCCCAAAGGTGTTAATGGTGGTGTTAGAGCCGTACATAAATCTCAACAAAGTTACTTTCTTTCAAGACCCTTTTCTGCCGGAACCGAATTGCTCTGTTTTTATATAGTATTCCCAAAATTACGTATAGCAAAACTACAGTACATTTTAGTTACAATCGATACTTTTGATACGGAGGGCAATTTATTGCGTACACACCGCAAGGATGGTTACGAAAGGAGCATGATAACACCCTAGGATATTTGAATTAAGTTACTTCCGCAAGATTTACCGCCAACTATTTGGGGACTTGATGTTTATTGAAGGGTGCTTGATAATTTTCCTACAGATTAGTATTGATTTTGCCAGGAGTTTAAAATAACGTTAAGGAACCCCATTTCTTTGCAATTTATGTTAATAATAAGGTTTCAGTCTGGAAATACAGTAATTGTGTCTTCCATTAAAAAAAGTTTTCTACATTTGAATAAAATAATAGCTCTAAGTGTATAATAATTAGATACTTACACCTAGTAGTGACGCCAATGGTTTTCCCGTTCATGTCACATTTTATACGCGTTTAATCCAGAAACAAATAGACCATTAAGCGTTTTTAATATCGGCATTGAAAGCTAGCTGGAAGCTCTTCGTGGAATAATGGAGCAGGAATCATATGAAATGTGAACATTTTGATTAAACCGTGACACACAGCTGCTCCAGTCATATGCGAATTTTAGCATGATATTATATGTGTAGTAACAGAACTGTTCACTGTAAATTGTCACTGTTAGTGATTACTCGCTTTGATTTCATTTTTCATACGTGAAATCGAAATTAACCCGTCAGTGTGGTTGAATTGACGCCTAAAGTAAGACATTTCAATTTAATTTCTTTATGGCTCAATTACGTTTTTATATTATACGAAACTGTTAGTAAAAGGTTCAGAGAATTGATCGTTAAAGGCCATTAATTATACGTTTCAGTTTTCTGAATAAAATATGTAAGCTGGCTGCATTAGTTCACCGTTATTACTTCATCTAGCTACCGTAAAATTTAGATTACTTCTCGAACAACGGCGTGTATCGGAATAATGGTGTCTGAGCATTATGCAAAAATCTTGAACTTGCATTGCTTCGTTTTTACAACTTCTTAGATACTCCAGATGCATACAGCAATAGTATTTTGCGTGTTTTTTTCATTTTTCTGGGAGTTAAGTAACAATAAGCAATCATTAACCAAATTTAAACGCAGCCTGAAATTATGGTTAAAATCGCAGGAATTTTACTCATTAAAAGAGTTCTATAGCTTTCATGATACCAATTCTTAGTTCACATTTCATCATCCATATTATTTCTATTTCTATTCACATTATTAAGGAAAAAAAAATAAAATATTATTTTTTAGTTATTGTATAAGCGCTCTATTTTCTTCCCGACACCTGTAATAGGTTTCTTCTGTTTATTTTATAATTTTATTTATACTGTTAGTTAATTGGTTTGTACAGAAGTAGGGAATAAATCATTATTATTATTATTATTATAATGGAGAAAATTGGCGGATTTTTTTAGAAGCAGAGAATATGATTTATTTTAACAATATATGTAATCCCCCTGGTAATCACCAAAAACAGTACAATACTTATCTCTGTGCCACATTCTCTTCTTGAATAATAAGCGAGAATCTTTGACACAGCAATGGTTCAACCTTTGGATCTTCCGTTCTCTGAATTATGTTTCGATTTCTTAAAAAAATGTTTCTTTACATTGCGGTTGTAATCTTATAGTCTATTTCACTTATATTTTCGGTAAATTTCCGGTTTTTACACTGTTTATGCAACTTATTTGCCCCTTATCTCTGGCGCTATTAGGTTCTAATGATGGCGAAATCTTGAAAGAGTGAACGTTAAATTTTACACTGCACCCGAGGAAAAGGATAAGTGGATAAGAATCGCAGAGTGCGTTCTATATAAAAAAAACAATCCAGGATTGCTTTGATGGCTTGCGGAAAGAGAACGTAAAAACGAACAGGCAAAAGGTGTCCTAATTAAGGAAGATCGACTTATACCGATTTGCTCAAGGGTGCCAAAAAAATAGCGCTGGAAAAGGAACCCAGCCAGGCCGTGAAAGCGGTTCAAAAGACCAAGGACGTCAGATCAGATACCAAGGGAGCGAAGAATAGGCTCCAACAAGAAATGAGCTGGGCGAATTGCACGAATAGGTGCGCAAAGCAAGAAAAAGTGGCGATCCATCTACGAGACATCGACGAAATCGACAATTTTGAAGTCAGACACCCTTGATAAAATAGTGACCAGACCGATAAGAGAGCCAGAGGGAAGGCAATAGGGCCGCCACGATCTTTCTGGAAAGGAAGGGGGACCAGGAATGCATTGAACCGTTTTTTGGTTGATTTTTGGACGCGTATGGTTACTTCAAAGATTAAATCTAAAAGTGTTTTGCAAGTTTCAACTTGACAAATAAGTGCTAAAAAATTATTAGAACTATTTCAAAGTTTCAGCTCAGATTTACCTTTGTAAAGAGACTAGCGGATTATTTTAGGTGAATTTCTGATGAAAGTCTAATAAAAATAAAAATGTGGATTATTTCCTTTTCATGCGTAAATACAGCTCATGGGATTAAAAAGGATATTTTGCGGTATAATCTTCTGTCGTCCTCGTCGTCTCTTATTTCAAACCTAATCGTCTAAATTGTATAAAAATAATGAAAGATTGCAGAGGATTTCATGGCGTTGGCACGATTGTGATGTTTAGAAACGACATTTTGAAGAATCCTGTAACGTAGGGTTGGGATCAGGGAGAGACATCAGTAAACGACGTATACGTGCCGACTTGTACACAAAATGTTAACGACGTCATCCCCGTTTCGCTCTCAATTTTATGCTCTTGCATTTGATGCAATTTAAGAAGGCAATAAAGAGCACACGTTAAAAATTTTAAATGCAAATAATATTCGTTTAACTGCTCTACATCAAGAGCAATCTTTTTATTGTCGGATTTGTGTGCGATTTTGTTGCGCTACTCTTTTTCCGTGTATTCGTAAGATACGAAGCTCCCTCAATTTCCCAGAGTCATAAAAGAGATTCGCTTGCTAGAAGGTTATATATCCGGGGATATGTTGGGTTTGTATGTAGGTAATATTAAGAAAATTAATAGCGGAACGAAATATTTCAGTTAAGCTCGAAACTACTTTTCTTCATGAGCTGATATTTCTTGTTAGCTTAATAGAGCGCATTTTTTTAATATCAAGCCTAATCCATTCTTTTGCTTCTCTTTTGTCCGTAGGTGAATTCCTCGCGTCTCGCGGACGACATAAAGAAGCTGCGGATATGTACGAAAAAGCTGCGGAATTACGGCCAAGGGATTATGAACTGGCCGTCGCCGCAGCCACGGCGATGAGACAAGCTGGAAGACAAGATGATGCGGAACGATGGTATCGTCAAGCTGTCTCATTAAAACCTCAGGCAAGTTATAAATGTACATTGGAGTAAAATAAATCTAAAAACCCTTTCTGGGATGAATTATAGCACGAAAGGGCTTATATTACATTCCTTTCTAGTTATTTATTGACTCTTCCTAGTGTAACAAAACCAGAATCTATTTCGAAGTTATACGATCTCTATGCGAGATTAATTTGATTGATTGTAGCGTTAACGCATAAATCTCTGACTTCTAGAGTTTACGCCGGAGAGATAATTTAGTTATGCCAACCTGATGCGAATTTATCTTACATTCGTTCTTATTAACCGAGAGAGAGAGGGAGGAAACGTGCCGCAAAGGATCTGTATTACAAATTATAATACCCATTAGCTTTATCCTTGCGTCTTGCAAGAAACCGCCACCTTTCGCTGTTACAATTCGTCAAATTTGACTTGCAAATGTTACGCTGCAGCATTAATTGTTCATGACGCCGCGTTTACGTACGAAATTTTAATTTGAGTGGGTGTGAGATTGATATGAACAGTTGAACACACTAATCAAGGACCCGTGTCACGGAAGTTGGTGACGCCTTGAAAGCCGGACGGGCCAAACTTCTACCTGTTGTATTTTATCCTGTCTGTCATATCTGATCAGCAACAACACCCCCTTTAGAAATGTGAAATTTGCTGACATCAAATTCAGTACCTATATTGTATATAGGATCGTCCAAACCACTACCTGCCTGTTGTATCTTACCTTTAATAAAAAGTTTTGTATTGTGTCTTCTTTGCACCAATTGTTTTTAGAAGTGGGATGATGTTTTCATTTTCCCTTCTAATCTATCATTTATAGTAGCAATTATAGAAAGTGTATTTCATGTGATAGAGAAATGGATCCCAAACTCTTGTGAGCTTTGAACTTGAGTTCCACTACGATTTTCTTTAATATCTTTGTACATTTAAAAAATAATGAGAAAAATGACAGAAAGAGGTAATGAAAATTCGATACATATAGCTTAATAATAATTTAAAAAATCACCGCTCGTTTATAAATTCTGTTTCAAAATTTTTAAGCTAAATAAGGGTTTACGTGGACGTTTATTTTTTATGCTTGCAGTGAAGTATATGAATTATTATAAACAATTGTCATCAACTGTAAATTTACGATATTTCATTAAATTCGCGTAGAAAAGCTCTATCACTTTTTGTAAGAAACATATGTTTCCATTTAAACATTTACAGTGTCTACTTCCAATAACAGCACACGACGATAATAATTAAAGACATTCAATTACAGTCATTTTATAATATTTGAGTCAAAGTTTTTAGTGATGCAGCATCCACCATAATGGAATTGTTGCAACAGTACAAATGCATGTGTTGTCGCTAGGGCCGAGTACAATTTAGAGATTGTTTTCTTTTTAAATCCTCTAACTAGTGATTTAACAATTATTATTAAGATAAGATTAACGTCACCCGTAGGAATAATACCTAAACAAATTAAAAACGTGATCACTCGTGACGGACGAAAGATATCAAGATATCAACTTTTTTCACCTTGTATCTCCGGAACAAAGTGCTTTTTCAAAAATCATCCAAAGAATTCATAGAATACTCGACTTTTTGCCGCATTTTAACAAACAGCCTATTAGTACGGTAAATCTGGCACGAAAAAGTGTCGTTTTTGGAAAAAAATACCTTATAACTTTTTTTTGCATACATCGTTAAAGTTGTCTTAGAAAAGCTTAACTCCAAAAATCCGGGATGGTACCGTGGGGCAATTTTGATAAAACTCAAAAAGTTTTTGGATTCGATTTATCTCGAAAACGGTGAGTTTTTGAAAAAATTTCATTGAACAAAAAATGTTGTGGACATTTTGTCTACAACTTTTGTCATTGGGCGGATGCTCTAACGTGAAAAAGAATTAAATGGATGGCGCCAAAGTTACTAAAAAACGGTTTTTCTACTTTTTCACCGAAATACCTGAATCACAATCTCCGTTTTAAACACTCAAATGCGTGCGAAAAAAGGCCTTTAAAACACACGTGCTTTAAAGTTGCTAAGTAACGATACTTCAAGTATGACTTTTGAAACTGTCATCTGGATGAAATAAAAAATTTTCTTAGGTCGCTTTCTGTAAATGCAGAACATTTCTTTGGCTTTTGTACCTATCCTTTGGTTGAAACTTTCACAAACGCGCGTAATTTAGGGTATGCTTCCAAATCTGTTCCACTTTTTAATAGCAGCATTGCTTTGAAGTTTTGAATGAATGCACCAAAATATAGAAGATTTAAATACCTTTGACATTTCCTTCATATATGCCAGCATTATCGATTAATTTAAGACTTTATTCATAAGTAACTTCCTATTCATCCATGGAAACAACTTTTCATATTCTTTATAATAGGCTTTACTGGAGTTGGATTTTACACCTACCAACGTTTGTTTAGATTTTACAACAACCGATTTAATGGACGGTGTATTATCTTTTTCAATGGAAATCGTTTAATTTACCAAGACGATGATTTTTATAAGCAAACGTCAAGTGACATTTCCATGGCAATCGTGAAATTACGAACACCCAGCCCACTTCATTAGACATGTATTCGAGTATAACGTCAATATGACTTCATTGTATTTCCTATTTTTAAATTATACTGCAGGTATAATAAAAAATACTATAAGATACACGTGTATAATTGGTCTTTAAAGCACTTGCAACGTTAAAGGCACTCCGCTTTGCGTCGTGCCCTTAAACTCGTTGCGCGTGCTTTAAAGACTTGATTATACACTTGTATCTTAATATACTATTTCCTCGCAAGATGTTGACTTGACCTACCCTTCTCAAGTCGCCACTAGACTCCAATGTCAATAAATAAAGAGTCTGACTCAAGTGTTGCAGGATCAACGTCAAATTCATCAACAGCATCCATATTGGAGTAAAATCGTGGAAACAGCCACCGAAAAAAAGCAAAGACAGAAAAGAAACCAGCCACGTTGATAAAATTGGTTTTTCTTCGATTTTGTATGATCAATAAATGATAGTCTTGTCTTATTGAGTTAAAAAAAATATGTTTACTTATTATTTCTTTTATTTTTAAATTCTTCATGAACTTTTTCCATTACTAAACGCACAGGGTAACGCACAACTCCATTTAACTTCTACAACTACAATACAATATTTTAAATCATTCCCACTGTAACTTAGCAACGGTCCATTGTACGTAAAAAAAGTGTATATGCATTTTGTAGGTTTTTTCACGGCCAATAACTTTTTCATTTGCAATTGTGAGGAAAAAAAGTAGAAAAACCGTTTTTTGGTGACTTTGGCGCCATCTATTTCATTCATTTTTCATGTTAGAGCAGCCGCTTAACGACAAAAGTTGTAGATAACAATGTCCACGACATTTTTTGTTCAATAATTTTTTTTAAAAAACTGATCGTTTTCGAGATAAATCGGATCCAAAAACTTTTTGAGTTTTCTCAAAATTGCCCCACGGAACCATCCCAGATTTTTGGAGTTTTTCTAAGGCAACTTGAATGATTTATGCAAAAAAAAGTTACAAGGTATTTTTTTCCACAAATTTGTGCCAGATTGACTGTACTATATATGGGGTTTATTTTCTCGAAAATAAGTAATTAGTTTTTTTCCTTATAATGTACTGTTTACGGGTAATAAAAGAACGAATTGAAAAACGCAATTGAAGGGGTTGTTTTTGGTGAATAGAATCCGTCTATATTGGTTTTGTATATGTTTGTTTTAAAATTCCTTGTTTTTAAAGAATTCTGATTTTTTACATTCTCAACCATTAAGTACCACTACACATATTTAAATTAAGTTAATCGTTATTCAATAGTTACATCGTATTTGGTATATTTCTCAAATTAAACTCACTTCAATAATAAAATAACTTTTAATTACTTTGCGTAATTAATATAGAACTACAAAAGTAGATTAACGTAATGTATAGTCTTCCCTCGTTTAAATAAAGGGGACATCCTTGTATTCAATAACTCTCTTTCAAAAGCATACAACTATTTCAACTCTTAAAACTACCAACTACAACTACAATTAAGGTAAACAATGCAACGGAATCGTAGGTAACCCTTCAGTACTCTAAGATAGAGAAGTCTTCTGACAAGCAGAAACTCATCCCTAATGAATAAAATTATCTTATCGAGTCCATTTCCGCATTTATACATCATGAAATGCACTTTAGTTTTGCTATATCGGTTAATTGTGGTGCGCAAATTTTGTGTCGTATTGAAGTATTATTATGAACTAGTCCTGAAACAAAAGAACAAATTACTGCTTGAAAACTAGAAAGTTGAGTGGTAAAGTTCCGCAAGCAACCCTTAGGGCGAGTTAAGCGAACTCTCAGGGTGTGAAGTTGAATAAATACTTGTGAGCGCCGTTGTTCCCCAATTTAAAATTTCATAATTAACCAAATTTGCGTCGGCGAGGATGAGTGATGAGCTCCAGAAAGTTGGGGCAAGGAATCCACCTATTTACTGGAAAATTTATCATAAATTGGGGGTAAACACCGATAGTTCTCAAATAATTGGTTTTAGCTAGTTGAATTAGTTGAGTTGAAACCAAACATCTCCGCGTTTAACTTTTGTTGATAAGAGCTACCCAGACGCCAACACAAATAAAGGTATATCGGGATAGTTCCTTGCGAAGTAACAGTTATCTATCCCCATTACGTAGTTTCCAAACATCTACAACCCATAAATCTTGCCTTATATAAACCGTGTTGATAAAACGTAATTAATTTCGTTGTCATCCTTTTTTGCGGAAAATCGGAAAGGCGTTAGAATATTACAAATTACGGGCGCGTCAGGGATATAAAAGCCACAAGTTAGAAATGGCGAATATCTAAACGGTGATCGCTGTATTCTTTTTGATATCATAAGAAAGGGTTTCCGGATAAAAGGTAGCAAAATTGAGAAGGGTTCAAATAGCTTTCTTATGTATTAAGAACAACGCCCATGAAATATGAATATTTCAGTTCTGAAACTCGCCCATAAAGCACCGCCCGTTC